TTTTTTTTTTTTTTTTTTTTTTTTTTTTTAACAGTGTTTCCTCTGGATTTCTAGCTACTAAAACCCAGCGTGCCGATAAAATTCTGGACTTGTCACATGCTGAACACATCCAGCTTTGTGACAAGGTTTGTGTACTGTAAGCACGTTGCAATGCAATGCTACGTTTGCTAAAAATGACAGCAGGAGCGTTGTGGAAAATCAGTGCATGGTTTGTGACCACTGTAATATTTATTCAAATAAATAAGTGATCATCACTTGCTTTTCTGTGTCATTTTGGAGACTCAGTGGACAACTCTGGCAGGGAGAAAGATGGGCTTTGGCTGTCTGCATCCATCCTCGATCTCTGTAAGACCTGGTCAAGCAGCGATCTTGGGTTTCTGGCACTGGTGGAGCAATGAGATGTCCATGCAGAGAGTAATGAGCTTGTCTGTAGCTTTTAATTAATTGCCTTTCTGTGAATTATATATATATATATATATATTTACAGGTGCTGCTGGACATGATAATGCTTCTTCACCTTTTCCTTTCCACAAGAGAAAAGCACCGAGCTTATACTTTCCGAATGGTGCCGAAGAGAGCAGAGCTTGCTCCTTGCGCAGCAGCGTGGAGGGCAGCCAGCGCTAGGGGCTCAAAGTGTTTGCAGGGCACCTGAGAAGCCAGAAGCCCGTGTAAGCCTGGAGGAACCCTGAAAAAGCCCGGGTGTTTTCCTTTTGCCTGGTGTGCAGGGAATGAAAAAAAGAGTGGTTCTCCTATAGAGACTCTCCTATAGAGTCCATAACACAAGGCCTTATGGAAACCAGGAAAATCCTCCTTCACAACCTGTTCCTGGTGGGAGCCCCACCGATTCCCAGAGTTGTTCATCACTGTGTGAGGACCCGGTGTATGAGGCTGTGAGTGCACGAGGTGTGTGTGTGTACATGGGAGTGTAGGGGGAGAGCCGAGGTCGAGGCTGGGATGGGGATAAGACGGAGCGCAAGTTGTCTCCGTTGCCATTAGCTCATGGCAGCTGGAAATGTATTTTGAGGCGACTTTGGTTGATCCCCTTCAGCTCGTGCGCTGGCAGAATTATCAGTTCTTGTCTAGGCCGTGGAGCTGAGCACAGGCCTTAGTAACACTGGAGCAGAGCAGTATGGTTAGTGTGGCTGCTCGCCGCCTCTTCCCGGGGTCTCACATGGGAGCACGGGGTCGCTTTTCTCTTCAGGAAGAGCTCACAGCTGCAACGTGTAGGGAGAAGCGTCCCAAGGAAATGCTTGCTGTCCCCAGCTTCCCCTCTGGCATGAGTGATGGGTACGGCAAGGCCGAGGGCCATACTGATATTTCTATTATTATGATTATACGCAAGGAAGACCTGCCCTGCGAGCTGCCCCAAGGCTGTGCAGTCACAAGCCGCCGCGCTGTGCAGCACTACACAGGAGCAACCCTGTCTGCCCGATCCTTTCGGCTGTCACAAGGAGTTGCGGGGACACCCGCTTCCTCCATTTGTGTTTCTATTTATTCTCGTCTCCGGCAGGGGCCAAGCGCGGAGACAGTCGAGTTCCGGGCGCCCGCGCGCTTTCGTTTCGGTGGGGAGCGGTGCAGCTTCCCCCACGCGCTCTGCGCGCCCGCACGGGCCTCTGCGGCGGCCGCGCCGCACTGCTCGGGCCTCGGCCTCGCAGGAACGGCACCTCCCCACGGGAACGCATCTTGGAAGAGCTTCGGGAGAACTACCGAAGGAGAGAGCAGTGAGTTTGGGAATGGGACTTGGTTCTTCTTATTATTTTCTTATTTTCTTCTTTTCTTTTTCTTTTCTTTTTCTTATTTTTTTTTTAAATAAATCTTTCTGCATTCTTACTTTTACTAGAAAAACACCTTTTCTGAGGCTGGTGACCAAAATGGGCACTGGTAAAATCTAGCGCTCAACAAGGAAGTAACAGCAAGCCTTAAGCTGGGCACACCGTGTAAACTGGGCACTCCCGCTTTTCTCATTCCTAAGATTCTGGTGTGCTAACGGCAGCAACACTGAAAAACCTTCCCTTTTGGGTTTTGTGCCCTGCTCGGGCGTGATCCCTTCAGCAAGCCCATGGCAGGCACCGTATTTGGGCTCCTGTGGAGCGGGGCTTTTGTGTTTCCTAACAGGAAACAAAGCAGCTGAAGTGACTTGGTAACAGGGCTGAAAAAAGCTAAGTGCCTTGTGCCTGTCCTGCAGTTGGTTTATAGGTCAGGAACTGGTATTAGCAGGCAAACTTGTTCTGTAGGGGTGCTGGGGACCCAGAGTGTGGGGACACAGTGAGGAAAGAGGTCTGACCTGCTTGGAGAATGGTTTTATCAGCAGCTGAGCATTGCTGTGTTGTTATTATTATGCAACGGTCCAGCTCCTGGGCTAGCAAAAATTCGCTTGTTGGCTACCTCAGCAGGGAACATAGGAGAAATGCAACAGTTATTTACTTCAAAGCAAACAAACCTGTACATCCATGCCGCTGTGGCCAGAAGAGAAAATATAGGAGCAAATTATGCCATTCCATTTGAAGAGTCAATAAGTAAACCTAATTAAACCTCTGTGTTGTTTAAGAATTCCTGCATGAACCACCCTCCCTGGCAATTGGTATTCAAGCAATTGTCTCATTAAATTCTCCTATGAAAAGTGGTAAATAATACATGTAGGAGGACCAAGGCCAGAGAAACCAGTGTATTGGTAACAGAGGTGAATAGGTGATGGGATGGAGGGGCTGCAGCTGTAGCAAATGAGCAAGCTGGGCACACAGGCCTTCCATCTTCTCCTGCTCCTTGGCTAGCAGTGAAACTGGAAGGAGTTGGGAAGCAGCCGTGGTTGTTTCTGCAGTTTGTTCTCTTTCTGAAAGACTGTATCAAGGAGCAAGCCTCGCAGGAACAGAAGTGAGGCGAAGGACTGCTTTGGAGTGCTAGTAAGTAGTAATAAGCAATGAGCCTGTTGCTAGTACTAGGAAACTGCACTGCTCAAGCTCTGAAACAGCTGTTGGAAATTGGTGTAGGCAAACACGAAGTGAAACACACGGAGGGAAAAACATTGCCAGCTCTACAGGTAAATGATGGACCGTGAGCTGACTGTTGCTATTTGGGAATAAGCCCTTGGGGTTATAATAGGCAGCTTCATGAAAGTGCCAGCTTGGAGCTTAGCAGCAATCTAAAAGCAAGCAATGCTGGGGAGAGCAGCACACAGCGAGCGCAAAAACATGACAGTGCCCTGCTCTAACCCGAAAACATGACAGTGCCCTTCACTCAATCCATGCATCGGGGTCATGGTGTTCCAAAAAGGATGTCGTCACACTGGGAAAGTTGAGGAAAGGGAAATGAGGAAGGTGAAAGATTTCAAATGGTCTCCGTGGGCCTGTTCCCCTGCTTCCCCAGCACTGGGAAGAGACCACTGAGTGTGGTGCCTGAGATGCCAGAGTGTTTCAGGGAAGCGTCTATATGTGCTTCCTAATGGATTTTCCTGCCTGCC